CACCCAAGTTTGACTAAGACCGGGTTCTTTGTTATACATGCAGGTCTTGGTGGCAAGCACCAGCCAATCAAGGCCAGAAGTTTGCTCTTTGCCGCTCATCGCAAGTGTTTTCAAGGTGAGTGATTGATGCCTATCTGAGTTGTGTGTTTTATTCCTCACAGACACTCTATTTCCTGTCTTTATAGTGGTCTTGTGTCAGGCTTTTGTGTCTCTGTCTGGCCAAAGCATCTGTATTAGACTAAGACTGGGTTCTTTAGGATATGTGCAGGTATTCTTCGCAGCAAATGGCTGCCAATCAGAAACACGAGTTTGTTCTCGGCCACCAAGAGCAAGTATTTTCAAGGCGAGCTATTGCCCGCCTATATCAGTGATGTGATGGCTGCGCCAATTGCGCCAAACTGCACCAAGGGGCTAACCCTGCTACATTTTGTCAAAATATGGGTAATCTGCGCCGAGCCTGTGCCAAAGGGCCAATTTTGGTCGCCTTTCAAAACCGAAACTAAACTAAGTACCGTAACTGAGCATGCATGAGCTAAGCGGCACAAACGGCCGCCCGACACAAAATATCCTGCATCAATCGTCCATGGTTTTTTTTAATGGTCTTTTCCCGCCATGCCGTCTCTTCTTTCACGCTCTCGTCGTCTCGTAAGCAATAGTCTCGTCTCGCGATTTTTTTTTTTTAACGATAGATGTTGGCGTGTGTGTGTGCTGCAACGCTAGCGTGCTGGGTACCAGCCATGACGTGGCGCTGTGAAACGAAACTATGTTTTGGCGCGGCGGGAGTTGCTTTTTGAGCTGAAGCTCTCGCTCCTGAAATCAACGGCCACACAACATTGCAGATATGGAGCTTCCTAAACTGAAACATAAGGACCGCCGCATGTTCATCAACATTCATGTTCTTGTTTAAAACATACGCTGCTACAAAAATCCCTCTCTAACTCAAAGACTGCTGTGTCGAAGTATTGATTACCTAGGTTTCTCTTGGTGGGCTTTCTTTCGAGAGGGACCCCGGTACGTGAAAAATGTGTTCTGAAGAAAAGTTGAAGTGAGCTAAAGCAAAGAAGGAAATGTCCGCACGCTGAACCCGCAGAGAACGCTTGTTTGTCTCGAGTTCAGTCGTTGCACAAAGCGACCCTGGCTCGCGATGTCTTGCATCAATGCGCTCAGGTTCTTTTTTTCTGTGTTTAGCTCGTACCTCGCCTGCCGGCCTTGCAAGCACGCGGCGCTGGACTCTTTTTTGTCGCATGCTGGGCAGTTACATTTTGCATAGATTTTTGGCAACCAGTTGGGACGGAGCGGAGAGGCATGCTTTCGGTTTCGATTAAACAGCCGTTTCGCTCGTGCGACAAAGCACGTGCACCTGCAGGCCTGCCGGAGTTGCCCTCACGTGCATGTGAACCAACGATGCGAACATAATTGCACGACAGAGGCACCAGCCGGGACGCTTACAATTCAGTGTTTTACATTTAATTACTTTTGACGAAAATCTGGCACGTCGGCAATCAGTAAAACGATGGCAAGCGGTTTTTCAGAATTGCTTGGCAATGCCTACAGCACTGTACACTTGTGGGATGTCGCAATGTCTCTTTGGAGACATTAAAATTGGACATTCAATACTACCCTAAGCTAAAGCAAAGCTTGCTCCAGCTTTGCAGAATGTTTCGAAAAACAAAAAGAAATGTGTCATGTCATTGGCATTTCAGTTACATCTTGAAAGACTCCCAGGTGGCCAAACTTGACCATAATTGGTTTATTTCGGCGAGCAAGATTCCCTTCGCGTGTCCAGCATTTAAAACAAATATTTTTATTTTTATTAGAATATCTGCTTTAAAAGCTACTTTTGCTGCTCCAAAACGGCTTAGGCCAATCACTACACTGCTATATGAGTTCCAGCATTTGTCAAGGAGCGCAAAAATTGAAGCCCGGGGGTTGGCCATTGCAAAAATGTTGACTCGGAAGCGCATAGGGAGGAAGCTTTACAAAAGTATCCACCTGCCTCTACAAGTGAAACGAAAACTAAGAATGTGGGTTCCATTTGAAAAAAAAACATCGTCAGCCCGAATTAACTTGGGGGCGGCACGAAGCAAACAAGCCACGTTACGAGTAGGCTTGGTTCAGGCTTTTGTAGGGGTGGTCGATGACTCTTGTGTTTTCTAAAAAGTTATCTTTTTCTAAAAGTGTGGTGGTCGAATATTCGGGGATGGGCATTGAGTCGGGATGTTAAGGTAAAAATTTCATCCACATGCCGGGATTCATGTGCCTTGTCCCCCTAGCGAGGGGGACAAGGCCTTCAAAATTTTAGGTTCACAAAATTGGTGCGTCAGTATTGACGTCTCATTTTACATCAGGCCTCTCATTTTAAAACTCACTATAAATGACATGTCTAAAATTCGTTTGCGTGTACTTCCTTCCAGCTAGTATATGGTTCTGTCTCAAAAGGTGTAATCTGATGTTGACTGCACCTCAGGTCTCCACCGACAATTCATCAGGACGAGGCCCAACCGGGACATTAGGGATGAGTGCTAGGAAGGAAGGCTACATATACGACAGCTTCTTGCGGACAAGAAACGAAAATAGATAGATGGTGGATGTTTCATTTGCTATGCCTTTTGGCATGCACATCCTGTTTGTTTATATTGAAGATTCGTGCAGAGTTCAATTTCAACTATTGTAAAAAACCGAGCATGCAATCAGATCGCAGAAGCGCCTACCCTCTGATTCGAAACGATCCGCAAATAAGCAAAGGGCATACCAGACACCCATACACCTCTTTTGAGCCATGCTCAAAATATTAAAAGAGTACATCAAGCACCAGGTGCTTTGGCGTCTTTGCCACAATGGCGCCGGTTGCAGAGCTGACAGACCCGTGACTGGCACAAGCCATGGCATGGCCTTTGGGAACCAGGGAATCGAGATTTAAAAAGTAGCACAGAAATTGGAGGCGGGCGGTGAAGGTGGGCAGAGTTAACAGAAAACAAGGATGAAGGAAGTTTGTTGCATGAGGCATCTGTGTCCCGTGCATATAATTTTGAGTGTGCTGTAGTTGGCTACTCAAAAAAATTGTTACTTGGACGTAACTAATCTCAAATCTCTTGCAGTTTCCACGGCCCACAAGCCAGCAGGCGCCAGTTCATTCTTGTTCAAAGGTGAGGATTCTAGATTTTCTAGATTGCTCTGAAGCAGCAATACTGAAGCCAGACAAGCGGTACGGCATATTTAATTGACGGAGCCCAGAACGACTGTTTAATTGACGGAGCTCAGAACGACTGGGTACGCTTTCACTGAAGCTTGTTTTCCTGCAATACAAGCGTGTATTGCAGCAAAACAAGCTTCAGTGAAAGCGTCCCCAGTCGTTCTTTGATTGATTGATTGATTGATTGGGGTTTAATGGCGCAGCAGCGACCAAGGCTATAATGCGCCAACAACTAGGACTATTGCTGAATCAAGGTTGAAGAGAAGAAAGAGCTATAGTAGCTTGTAATTTAATAAAACAATGATCATGAAAGTATGAGCGCATAAGATGTGGCAATGAGTACGATGAACTATTAACCCTTTACTGCACCTTGTTGCATATTCGCAACATAGCGATAAACGACGATAAAAACATCTACAAAATGCATTCAGTGCTAGTTCCGCACGTTGTTGCATTTCTGCAACATACATCCGCGAGGCGAGCCGTCCAGTGCTGCCATCTGTACTCAGGCGGCGAAACTGCTCTCTAAAAAGCGTGACAGCCACCACGTGGACGCTCAACAAGTGACACAGGTAAGCCTTGACTACTGCATATCACGTTCTATACAGTGTAATGCAAAACAAAAAATTTGCGACTCAACTTAATGTCCTGCTGATTATGTAAATACTAAAAACCTTAAGATTATCGACGAAGTTTGTCTTTGGAAGCAAAAAATAGCTATGTTGCACAGATGCAACAACGTGCACGACGGTGTTTTTTCTTCGTAGAGCAGACACAATGGACCCCAAACGGTTTTACAGCCGTGGAATTCCTTCCGACAGTGAGGACAGCGAGCTCTCCGGCAGTGACGATGACTCTGATTGTAAGTTAATGTTTTTTTCTGGAAATCCAACTTTTTTTCACGTAGAGAATAAAATTAGAAGCAGTGTAGGCTTTATTGACAGAGATTTTCGGAAGAGACCATCCTTCGTCAGGTGTAACTACACACAATTGCAAAGTTGTAGGGTTGTTTTCACGCTTTCAAAGAGCACACTTAGATCCGCCAGGGAAGATAGTCCCCTATACAATGTAGAATTTCTCTCCAAATTATTTATTTTACTGCTCATTGTATGAGTTGTACGAGACGCTGTTATTTTTTGTACCCCAGATGTCCAGCCCCCTGCAAAATGTAGTGCCAGTTCAAGCGAGGCGAGTACAAGCTCTGACGAAGAGGAAGCTCCCGCAAGCCAACCAGCTGATCAGTCATCAACTCAATCTAAGAGAAGAATTATCTGGAAGAATGCAAGCCTGATGCGGGATCCTGAAACAGTGAAGTTCACTGGACAAAATGAGCTTCCGCAGGAAGTTTCAGAGTTGGAAACACCTTTCCAATACTTCAAGTTCATCTTTCCAGGCGCTCTTATTTCGCTTATTGCAAATGAGAGCAATTTGTACTCAGTCCAGAAGGATGCCAGTAAGCCCCTCTGCACCAGTGCCGAGGAGATTGAAGTTTTTCTAGGCACCTGCATGTGGATGTCTATAATTCAGCTGAAGAACACTAGGTGGTACTGGAGTGAAGCTACCAGAGTAAGCCAAGTAGCTGACCACCTCACGGTGACACGCTTCGAACAGTTGAAGCACAACCTTCACTTTGTGGACAACAGCTCTCTCGGCCCAAGAGATGATCCTGATAGAGACCGGCTTGCAAAGATACGACCGCTCGTCGATGCTGTAAATGAACAGTTGTCGCTGATACCGCTTGAAGAGCACTTGTCTGTGGATGAACAGATTATACTTTTCAAAGGCGCAAGTGCACTGAAACAGTACTGTCCCCAGAAACCAAAAAAATGGGGGTACAAAGTATTTGTTCTCTCAGGAGTAAGTGGCTTCTCGTACAAGCTAGAACTGTACACGGGACAAGAAAACTCTGCCCCAAGACGTGCAGGAGAGCCTGACTGTGGAGCAAGCGGGAACATTGTTGTTCGATTGTGCAGGTTAATCCCAAGAGGAGTCCACCACAAAGTGTATTTCGATAACTACTTCAACTGTCCAACCCTTCAGGTGTACCTGGAAAAAGAAACCGTGCACTGCATTGGTACAGTCCGGATCAACCGAGTAACGGGTATCAGCATGCCATCTGACAAGGAAATGAAACAGAAAGGAAGGGGAAGCTTTGAAGAGAAGGTAGCGACCCTGGATGGCATTCAGCTGTCGTGTACAAGGTGGCAAGACAACAGAGCCGTCACCTTGCTGTCCACCTTTGTTGGGGCAGAGCCTGTCCTAACTGCGCCAAGGTGGAGCCAAAAAGAAAAGGAGAGGCGCGACATACCGTGTCCGTCGGTGATAGGCGCTTATAACAAGCACATGGGAGGAGTGGATCTCTTAGACTCTCTGATCTCCCTCTACCGCGCCCATCTCCAATCGAAGAAATGGTACTTTCGTATTTTTCTTCATATTCTCGACTTGACGGCTGTAAATGCCTGGCTGCTGTATAGGAGGAATGCCGAGACTACTTCCGATCAACCAACACGAAAGCTCATGCCATTAGCAGAGTTCAAGGTGGACCTCGCCACGTCACTCTGCAAAGCAGGAAAAAATCAACTGAAGAAAAGGGGAAGGCCCAGCAATGAGTCCGTGGAGCAAGGCATCCAGCTGAAGAAGACAAGAGGTCCTTCAGCACCGTGTCCACCTCAAGATGTCAGGATTGATCAGGTATTATCACTGGCGAATTAATCTGTTCTACAAACCTCACTGTTCATACTTCTATGCTCAGGTTGGCCACTGGGTGCTTTGGAGTCAGAAGCGACAGCGTTGCAAGTTTCCTGGATGCAAGGGCATTTGTATGAGCTACTGCTCTAAGTGTGGCACTCACCTGTGCTCAACAAGCAAGAATAACTGCTTTCTTTTGTATCACACAAGCAAATGAGGCCACATCTCTCTGTAAATACAAGTTTGGCTCTGGTTCACAAATTTTTAGCATTCGGCTATAAATATTTCGTTATTTCCATCTTGTTGCAAATATGCAACATACCTATCTTTTTTCGATATAAATTTTTTCGAAACTTTGAAATTTATTTTAGTGATAGTATTGTGATAACTGTGGTATTCTACTTCTGCTGGAATAAAATTGTGAAAAAATAAAAAGTTGTGCAGTAAAGGGTTAAAATTATAGCTGGTCCAAGAGTCTTATATCCTTAAGAAAGTTGAAAACACACTTGTGTGGAATCAACGGCTCATCGCTGAGTAAAAGGGCGAGATGTAATGGTGTATGCTCTTGGTAAACCTTAGCAAAGTGTCTGTGGCGTTCTTGGTCATACAAAGGGCATACAAGTAAGATATGTAGGATGCTTAACGGAATGCAGCAGTGTTCACACTCCGGAGCATCCTCCCCACGCAAAAGATGCCCATGGGTAAGACGGGTATGACCAATTCGCAGTCGGCACAAAACCACCTCATAAAAACGCTCGCGGTGTCGTGCACTCTCCCATTCCTGAAGTAGTGGTTTTACTGTGCGCAACTTATTGTTTATTTCTCGGTCCCATTCCTCTTGCCACTTGCGTCTTATGGAAAATTTCAGAACATGCCTATAGTCTCTGTAAGGTATTTTCCACAGGTCGACTTCTCGATCCTTAGCAGTACTTGCTGCTCTGTCAGCATCCTCATTTCCGGCAATTCCGACATGTGAAGGAACCCAGCATAGTATTATTTTCTTCTTCCGTTTTGCGGCTGAAATTAGCCTGTTCCTTATTTCTATTACAAGTGGATTGCGATCATTTCCCACTCTGGCAAGAGCTCGTAAAGCACTAAGTGAGTCGGTGTAAACAATTGACTTGTGAGGCTTTTGTTTGAGGATCTTATCTGTGGCAAGGAGTAAGCCATAGAGCTCTGCCGTAAAACTACAGGCACTGTCATTTATTCTCCGGACAAGCTGCATCCCAGGCCCGATGACTGCGCAGCCCACAGAGGAATCAGTTTTACTACCATCAGTGTAAAAACTTATAAAGTCGTGATACTGTGCTTGGAGTTCAAGGAATTCTTGTCTCAGGACTTCGCGAGGAGTGTCTTTTTTGTTGAATTTCATTAGCTCCAGTTCGCACTGAATAGGAACTAGGTCCCAAGGGGCTGCCGAACTCAAACACTGTACAACTGGAGGCAACACGTCCAGTCCTACAGACTCCGCAGAATTGCGAACCCTCATGGCAAGAGGTGGGACAACTGAAGGCTTGTTACTGAAGGTTCGCTCGTAGCGTATTCCTTCCATACAGTGTAAGGTTGGATGGTTAGGAACCGATCTAATTCGCATAAAATATGTGAAGCCCAGTTCAGATCTTCTTTTCTCTAGAGGGAGCTCGTTTGCTTCTGCGTATAGACTGTGAACAGGAGATGTGCGAAAAGCACCGGTAGCAAGCCGCAACCCCTGATGATGAACAGGGTCCAGCATTTTGAGAACCGATGTCCGGGCAGAACCATACACAATACAACCGTAATCAAGTTGGGATCGAACGACCGACCGATAGATACGCAAGAGACAAAGACTGTCAGCACCCCAGGACACATGCGACAGGACTTTAAGTATATTAAGCGATTTAAAACATTTCATCTTCAGGCTCTTGACATGCGGAACGAAAGTCAATTTGGAATCAAATATAAGACCTAAAAACTTGTGTTCAGTTTTCACTGGGATAGGAACATCATACATAGTCAAAGAAGGTTCGTGCAAAACTCCGCGGCGACGTGAGAAACTCACACAGACGGTCTTCTCAGGAGAAAATTTAAAACCGTTGACATCAGCCCATTTGACCAAGTTGTTGATTGTGAGCTGGAGCCGACGTTCACATATGGATGGATTACAAGACGATACAGAAATCTGCAGATCATCGACGTACAGTGAGTACTGAACAGATGGAGCTATTGCGCGGACAATTGAATTCATCTTCACAATAAAAAGAGTGACGCTAAGTACACCACCTTGAGGTACTCCATTTTGCTGCGAAAATTCTCTAGAAAAAGTTGTCCCAAGCTTCACGCGAAAAGTCCGGTTTTGGAGATAACTCTGAATGCCACTTAACATTCGGCCCTGTACACCTAAGCTGAACAGATCCTGCAGTATGCCATGGCGCCAGGTTGTATCAAATGCCTTTTCCAGGTCAAAAAAGACAGAGACACAATGCTGCTTATTTACAAATGCCTCTCGCACAACAGTCTCAAAGCGAACTAGGTGGTCGACCGTGGATCGTCCTGAACGAAAGCCACATTGGTACCTGTCAAGAAGATTATTACTCTCCAAATAAAACATCAGCCTTCTGTTGATCATCCTTTCTAATGTCTTCGAAAGACAGCTAGTTAGTGCTATAGGCCTGAAGCTAGAGGCACAGGCAGGATCTTTTCCTGGCTTTAAAAGGGGTATAATGACGGCAGCCTTCCAGGACAATGGGAAAAGACCCTCGACCCAAACTCGGTTGAAAAGATACAAGATGAGCTCTAGAGTAGATGGATGAAGGTGCTGAAGCATTTGATAGTGGATACCGTCCGGTCCAGGGGCAGTCTGTCCGGACGAATCGAGAGCCATCTGCAGTTCGTGCAGCATGAAAAGAGAGTTATGAGGCTCTTGCAAACCACCGGTCGTAGGCACAATCTTTTTTTCTGCATGAAGCTTATGCCGCCTAAATGATTGCGTATAGCGTTCGGAACTAGAAACAAATTCGAAGTGCTCACCAAGAATGTCAGCCTGTTCGTCAAGGCTTGCAGGACATATTCCATTCCGGCACAAGAGTGGGACAGAGAAAGCGCCGTAGGAACCCTCAATTTTATGCACGCGGTCCCAAACTTCCTTTATAGATGCACTGCTATTGATTGAAGAGGCATATCCTCTAAAGCTTTGCCGCTTGGCTTGTCTTCGAATAAACCTTGCCTGAGCCCTTTTTCTTTTAAAGCCAATCAGATTACTTTGAGTAGGGTAACGCCTAAAGATACCCCATGCACGATTCTGTTCCTTTTTTGCCTGGCGGCAGTCTTTATTCCACCATGCCTTCGGCCTTTTTGGGAGATGCGAGGACGTCATGGGAATGGCGATGATTGCGGCCTGTAATATGTGTCGAGTGATATGCAGAGTGACATCATCGATGGAAAGATCATCAAGTGATGAACAAGCTAAAACTGAAGAGCTGCTAAAAGTTGCCCAGTCAGCCCTCTCAAACTTCCAACGAGGGGTACGCGTTTGAAGACCAGCAGGAGGACTGTTGAACTCTAAAATAATTGGAAAATGGTCACTTCCATATGGGTTTGGGATGACCCTCCATGAAAACAGCGAGTATAGTGAAGGGTGGCAGATAGAAAGGTCGATGGAAGTAAAAGTCCTGGTCGCTAACTAAAGTGTGTGGCTTCTTTAGTGTTAAGTAAGCACAGTCCCGTGGAAAGAAGAAAACGTTCAACAAGTGCTCCTCTAGCATCCCGTTTACCATTCCCCCACAATGGGTTGTGTGCATTAAAATCACCTAAAATTAAGTATGGAGCCGGGAGCTGACTAACAAGATCCTCTAGCTCTTCGTACTGCAGCTGGTATCCCGGTGATATGTACACTGAACAAACAGTAATCACCCGGTCTAGCAGTATTCGGGCAGCCACAGCCTCGAGAGTGGTGTAGAGAGCAACTTCGGCAGATGGGGTTGTGCGCTGGGCAACTACAGCAACACCACCAGACGCCACAGAGGAGTGCAACCTATCTTGTCTAAACACTTGATAATGGCGGAGTACATTTGACCTAGTTTCTTTAAGATGCGTCTCCTGCAGACAGAAGGCAGCAGGGCGGTGTTCGTCTAATAAAAAAGTGATATCATCATAATTACAAAAAAGCCCACGACAGTTCCACTGTAAAAACAGAGACATGGTTAAGATTAAAACTGGAAATTAAAATTGAAATTATAACTGGCGTTTAGGACACCGCAAGATAACTAAGTGGACACTTGCTTATGATTCATTTCTAAAGGGACTACGATCCCTTTGGGGGCAAAATTCTAGGAAGTTTATTTTTCTTTTTCTTTTCTACGACCTGAAAAGGTACTGATGACTCAGCACCTGAAGGGACCAGGTCGTCGTCAGAGGGTGGCATGCTCTCATCCATCATTTCGTCTACTGACTGCTGGCTTGCGGTCGAGTATGCCTCGTCCAGCTGGCCAGGCTTTCGAGAGCTGGTCGAGGCGGGAGTGGGCAAAGCCCTGCCTCGGCCTGAAGAGCGACCAGACGACGAGGGTGTCCGCTCCAGCTCCTTAGAGGAGGTGGTCTGCGACGGACCCTCTTTAAGGACTGAGGGTGGTGCGAGAGGCACCACCCCTGATGCCTTTGGAGGGGATACCTCCTTTGGTGCCGTGGTGTCCATTGCCTCCTTTAAGAGAGGCGCGGCAGCACCATTCAGGCACTGTGAACCTTTTGGCTCCAACGACAAACGTGGTCGTGGAGCCGACCTTGAGGGGGCAGGGGGTGTCGGTGGGGCTGCCAGGTCTTTGGGACAGACCTGGGTTCCCACCGAGGTTTTCGGTGACACGCCCCCTGTGCGTGTTACCGTAGCGAAGGATCCTTTCTGTAGAAAAGAAAGTCGCTTCCTGGCCTCAGGAAACGAGATGTTTTCTTTTACTTTGAGGGTAATTACTTCCTTCTCTTCTTTCCATTTTTTACAAGAACGGGAGTAAGCGGCGTGTGGTTCGCCGCAGTTGACGCAGTGTGGTGGGTTTGAGCAGTTGTCTGACGGGTGATCGTTCTGACCGCACTTGGCGCACGTGGTCTTGCCGCTGCAGCTCTGGGCACTATGGCCGAACCTCTGGCAATGGAAACATCTCCTGGGGTTCGGCACATATGGCCGTACTCTACAGTTCAAGTACCCAGCCTTGATTGACTCGGGAACTTTGCTCAACTCGAAAGTCAAAATGACAT